AATAATATTTTCAAATTTGTAATATATTTCATAAATTATCAAATTCTTATCATAATGATATCACATCGATATGGAATTGATATCGATATTCATATCTTAATGATATCGATTCGATATCATTATGATATTATCGATTCGATGTCGATACGATATGGTTACAATAAGGTTACGATATGGTTAATGATATTGAATTGAGGTCGATGCGATATCGAATTAATAATATTGTGATGACAATGTTTCAATATCGAATCGTTATCGTAAAGGTATAGATTTGATATAAAATCTATATTATTTGTTATATCGTAATCATAAGGATTCTATATTGAATCCATACCTTTATGATAATAATTCAATATCGATTCGATATCGTCATGATATTATTAATTCGATATCGCATCGACCTCAATTCAATATCATTAACCATATCGTAACCTTATCGTAACCATATCGTATCGACATCAAATCGATATTGTTAAGATATGAATATTAATATCGATTCCATATCAATGTGATATCATTATGATATCGAATCGACATAGATATCGTAACGATATCGATTCAATATTAAAATGATATTATTGTGATATCGAATTAATATCGTTAGAATTTTAAGGATTTCTGTAAAGTATAGATACTTAAAATTAGGTGATAACATGTTTCAATAGTGATTTTTCACCACTTATCTTGTATTATCTCAATTACCTTCTGTTTAGATCTGAGTATAAACTTCCTTTTTCAAACTTAACTATCCAAATAGTTTCACAGATTCTCAATCAGATTAAGATTGGGACTTTGCATTACCTAATCTAAAATTGGAATGTTATATGTTTTCATTCACCAAATATTGTAAGTTGAAGTATGACATGACGCTCTATCTTACTAAAAAATTGAGTTGGAATAATTGTCAACCCGTGGAATGAACTGATTTGCTAGTATTTGTCAGAATCTATATTTCCTTTCATCACAACTAATGTCTAACTCTATACTAACCAAAACATCCCCAAAACATTACTGATTTTCCTTTAAACTTAACGGTAGATTAAATACAACCTTTATTGTATGCTTTTTTAGGATTTTCTATACTCTTACTTGACCATTTGACTGAAAAAGAGCGAACCTTGACTTGTCTGACTATACTGCTTATTTCAATTTCTCTACTCAATTTTTTTTTTCTTTGCATTATTTCAAGTGATCAGTTCAATGTTTTTTGGTTAAATGAGGCTTTTTTTTGCAGTGTAACTTCTGAGACCTTCATTATAAAGGTAATTTTAATTGTATTATAGTGTAAAGTTATATTAAGGCTGTTATTAAACTTATCTGTCATATCACCTAAAGGAAATAACCCATCAGTTCATATAATATATTTTAAAGCTCAGATATCATGTTATTTGAGTTTTTTGGTCTTCCAAGACATTGCTTAGGTTAACTAGAATCTGTTTCTTTATACTTTTTTATAATATTGCTTATGGTATATTAAATTGAGTAGAAATGACTGTTTGTTTAGTACCAGTAAAATATAGATATGCACTGATAATTCGTTTTCAGTTGGCTTTTGAAACTTCATTTTCACGCATTGAGAACTAGAAGAGGAATGAGAAATAATATTTTTGTTATTTCCTTTATTTATACATATGTACGACAAGGAGAAATCACCGATTATATTACAAGGATGCAATTTCACGTGATAAAAATCTGAATATTTATTATAGGCCAGTATATATGCCAAATTTATGGACATATGAATGGTGATTTATATCATCAAATTTTAAATGAAGACCTTATAGGAACCATTGAGTGACATGGAATGGATAAAAATAATATTATCTTTCAACAAGATAATGATCCTAAATACACTACAAATCTTACTAAGCAATAGTTTGAGAACAATAGGGTTAAAATTCTTGATTGGCCAGCGCAGTCCCCTGACTTAAACCCAATAGAACACCTTTGGAATGAAATAAACCATTGTCTGAGACGGCTTGAAATACCAGGATGCAATTCAAAAAATTTGGGTTGAATTGGGATCTGATGTATGCAAATATTGGTTGATACTATGTCAACTCGTATAAATGATATAATTAAAGCTAATGGTGGTTATACGAAATAGTAGATAATTATTTACCAAAGTATTAATGCAATTGGGTTAATTTTTATTTTTTTTTATTTACATAAAAATTTTAATAAAAAGTCTATCAAAAGAAAAGGATTGTATAAATGATCAAAATCAAGTATATAAAACTTTTTTATCACATTATTACGCATTGATTTTTATACTATTGAATAGACTCGTTATGATAAGTTTGATAAGTTTAATAAATAATTTTGGTAACGCTGCGCCTTCTTAATCACAAGATAATGCTATTTTAAAATTAGTATTTGAGCGCTACTGTATATTACCACATTTCGTGAAAGTTGTCTGCGCCATATGGATGATCGGCTTATTAAAATCACATTACAGAATATAGTAAATAAATCACATGATATAACAACTTTTACTATTCATTCTGGGGACAGATTTTTTCGATGTGAAAATTCCTATTTGTCACTTTATTTAAAAATTCCATATAGATTTTTGTCCCAATAAATGTAATTTCTCAACATAGGAATGTGAATTTTGTGTTATAATCAGATAAAATAAAATTTATTATTGTACAAAAAAAGAACATTTCGCTAAACCCCAGATTAAAGATATATCATTATCTTGTAAAGATTAAAATACTTTATGAAAACACATTCAATACAATTACTTTTCATATTAGTATAGATCCTTCCACCAATACCTTTGTCGTGACGTAATTATATAAGTTATAATTACTCACAGGTTCATACTAGTCGATACAACTACCCGAACAATTTGATTTCTGTCTATTCCTTTCTGAATTATGATTCGTCCGGGAATGTTAACTCTACACCATTGAATGTTGTTATCACTATTTCTATAAGAGAGCACTACTCCTTCAACAAAATCTGGTTTAATTGAGAATCTATCAACATAGGTATGTTTTTTTGCCTCTACAGCCCATTTAAAATTTAGATAAGTTCTTTCTAGAACTGATGAACAAGCATCGTATTTCAAAGGTTCATTTATCTGCACTTAAAAAGGTTAGTGTAAAAATTAGCGTTATTATTATATACTATTAACATAATCATACCTTTCTTTTTATTGTAAATGATGATTAGATTTGGAATATTTTTGGAAAATTTTTTTTTTTGAATTGAAAAAATTAAATTTTTTGAAAAAATTTTTTTGTTAAGTCAATACGAGTTAAATTAATTTACGTAGTTAAGGCAAATTAATTTAACCAAGTATTGCTTCAAAATTTTTCATCCCCAACTAGCATTACGGCATTAATAAATTAACCTCATGACAAATATTAATGAATACTTAGCGTTACATAGTAAAAATGGGTGTAATACGGGTGATAATAATTTACTAAATCACGTGGAGGTGAAAATCAAAGAAAATCATATGAGGTCACGTGGGGTAAATAAGATAATATCACGTGAATAATAGGTTTAAACTATTTAAATTGATCAATAAAAATAAAAACTTGATCTACTTATTCTCGTCTTTCATCCTCTACATAATGTTTAAATTAATTGAATCTATCTTGAGGATTTGTATACTGTTCTTTATCGATATTTGTTGTTGCGGTTGCATTTGGAGTAACTACCATAAATTTTTAATTTCTTTTTCAAATCAACTTTATATATTAAAACGCTTTAAAATTTCAGGACCATTTTTTCGATTCTTATTTGGGAAGAAATCCAAAAATACAAAATGATGCGTTTATTATATAGAAAAATATTATACATTTTTCTACTATTCTATACATAATATTTTTTTTTCACGTTTAAGGTTTAGTCTAAACTTAGATTATTATAATAACACAGATAATTTGGAAATTTTTATGTTAGAAGTGTCTTTAGGTCTTGTAGATTATAGTGAAGATATCACTGATGACCTTCTATTATCTTATGACCATAAAGACAAGATAGCAGCTATTGAAATATATGGTGCATCAAATGTATTACATGTATCCTTCATTCAAGAAAATCCACGTTTTATGATTAATCACATGTATCATGAAGATTCTGATATTTTAGAAATTAATCTCGTTAATTATACTCCACACATGATCGAATTTAAGAAAACCGAAGTGTAGGATGTTGAGATAGGAATGGATAACGATGGAAAGCTTGTTAGCTTACTCTTTTATAATGCTAGTAATAGAGTATTAGAGACGTTGTCAGAAGATAAGAGAGAAGAATATGCGAACATGGCAGAAGAATTTAGAAAACGATGTAGTGAATTCTTGAAAATGAATAAACCCGAAATTAATATGCAAGAAGTAGTTTAAAAAGAAAGTATAATTGTAAATCTTCTAAATATTGTAATTAATGGTTATCAAATAAATAACTTTTGAACTTATATAATGTAAATCTTACGAAAAAAAATTTTTTTATTTATTATTTATCTTTACACACTCTAAGGTTATTTTTTTTATTTTTTTTTTATTTTTTTTTTTTTGGAATATTATGATAATTGCCAATCAAATTCAGTCTTAATTTAATTCGATCTAATTTCTAGTTTTTAAAACTTTGTTTTTATTAAATTATTATAAATAAATTAAATATTATATTTTAAAATTTATTATAAAAAAAATGAAGTTTAAAGAATTTAGATTTTGCTATATATATATTAATCTGTAAATATAAAAACTTTAATTTGTATTAACATAAATAGAATTTTGAATTTATTATTAAAAGTAAATTTAAATGAATCTTTATAATTAATAATTAAATTATTATTATAAAATATGAAAATAGTTTTAATAATAAAAAATTTTTTTTTGAATTATTTTATATAAATAAATTTAATTTAACAAATAAATATATTTAAAATGAGTAATATTTGTTAAAATTTATTAAATTTAAATTTTATCAACTTTAAAAAATTTATTAAATAATTTTCTTTACATTTAAAAGCTCATAATTTTAATTTATTTCTTTAAATAGTTTTAAAATTTTTTCTAAAAAGGAGGAATATCCTTTAAAAAATTTAGATAAAGAAACAAAATTTTTTAAACTTATTTTATTTTAATTAGTTTTTTTATATTAATAAATAAAATTAATTTTTTTTATTAATAATATAAACAAATATATTAATTTCAATGTTTTTATTAAAATCATTATTTTTAAATAAA